ATGACCCATCTATGAAATGGATGACTTAGATCTCTCACCCTACAAGTCACCTTGATCAACGGTTCATATTCAATCTCAAGAAAGAGGCAAACTATGAGAACCCTAAAGAAACTCTAGACTTAAATTTCACTAGAAATAGGGGTGCTCTCCCCCATCTCAACATACCTCTCTCTCTCTCTTCCTTAGGGACCACCTCCCTCTCTCTACTCCCTGATTTTCTCTCTCTACTCTCTCTCGCCTAAAAAGCCCTAGGGGCATGCCAACATAGAGACTCTCTCTCTCTCATGATCTAATCTAAGGGTTGAGAAAATTAGGGTTTGAGCCTAATTATTTTAGAGTTAGGGTTTTGTAAAGATTTAAGGGTGGTTACCTAGTTTGGCCGAAATTAGTTTTCCAGGTTTAAGATTGAAGCTAGACTGCTGATCCCGTGCCATTGGATGTGGTGACTCGGTTTGGGGTGTAAAAAGCCCGATTGAAGTAATTGAAGGTGCATCAAAATTGCATATGTTGGAATTGAAGGTGCATCTGTACTATGAATTTTAATGTTGACATTAAAACTCACTTTTTGCCGTTTGAATTCTTGATTGTGGTTGTTTGAGATCATGGCATTGTGGATTTCTTGTTTTTCCTTTTTATTTTTATCTTAGTCTCTCTCAATATGGATTTTCGAAGTCCAAATGACGTCCCCAAGCATCTATACCCTGCTCCCCACTAATTACTTAATGATAGTTAGGGCTGGCAATGGGCTAGGTTTGCTGGCCCAAGCCTGACCCAGCCCTGCTCAGGCCAAAAAGGTCTTAGCCCAAGCCCGGCCCTAGCCCTATCAGGGCAGGGCTGTGCAATATAAGACTAAAAAATAACAAAAATACAAATAAAAAGAGTGTCAAGTTGGGCTGAAGTGGGCTGACCTTGGCCTAAGCCCAGCCTGGCCCTACCCTTGGGCCATGGTTGCCCGGCCTTTCGGCCATATCTCGTGGCCCAGGTCCCAGTTATGTAAGGCCCGGCCAAGCTGCCCAGTCCATTGCCACCCCTAATTATATAGTAAAGACATATGAACATAAAAAAAACAAAAAAGTAAAAGACAAAACTGTGGAAAACAACAACCACAAAAAAAAAAAAAGATGAATAGTAAAAGAGGCATGTAAGTGGTGAAAGTTATTATTGCTCCACTGATGTTGCGGTATTTCAGTATTTCTTTTCAAACTCGGGCCCAAAAGCATATTTAATTGTAGGTGCTTTTGTTAGGACTTCTTCCTCTCCCGTTTTTGTTTTTCTTGGTAGTCAGGACAGAGGACCGCCGCCTTAAAACTCTTTATTTCTTGATCCGCTAAAGATTTGGGACAAGCTTCTCAATAATTAAATGCATATTAAGGTGCTAAGATATATATTAAGGTGGTAAGTTATATATTAACGAGCTTCTCACACAATGGAATCTTTGTTTAATAGTCACGGACGAACAACTGTTTTACTATTATATCAAAGTAAACACAACAGCTCTTAAATTTACTTTTGATACAAGGGGGTCACAATTCATTTTAACTATTAAATATAAAATCGGGTGGATGTATTTATTTAATTAACCAAACTCAAAGTTCAAAATAAATTTTTTTGAACTTTATGACATACACAAGCTATTAGATTAGATTTCACATGGGATGATTACATGCAATTTCCCATACCAAAGGTAAATGGTTTAATGTATATAATCTCTAAACAATAAGCGTTCATAAATTTTGAAAATGTGTCTCTATACATATTAGTCATGTGTGTTCTGGTAGGAACACACTATATGCTTATCCACATTAACAAACGACGCACTTAGGAGGATTTTTTGTCTCAAATTTTTGGGATACATTCTAAGAACAGTAGATGAGTATTTGTTCAAAACTAAGACAAGGGACTTTGAGGTTTTGAGCACATAGATATGATGGTTTTAAAACTAGAAGGTTAGTACATGAAATTTTATTTAGAGATATGGATATCTAAAAAATGAACTTTTTAGACATTTTACGTTCCAATAGTTTTAGTATCATACAATTAATCCAATCATTGTTTTTTTTTTTGCTTTATCTGCCAATCAAAAGTAAATCCTTTAAAAACTAAACTATCATTCCCCTCTCTCTCTTTCTCTCTCAGCCCTCTCCCTTTCTCTCTCTACCTGCCCTTTCTCTACCCACCCTCTCTCTCTTTCACTCTGTACTGGCCCTCTCTCTATTACTACCTTTCTCTCTCTTTACTTGCCCTTTCTCTACCCACCCTCTCTCTTTCACTCTCTCTTTACTTGCCCTTTCTCTACCCACCCTCTCTCTCTTTCACTCTCTACCAGCCCTATCTCTATTATTACTTTTCTCTCTCTCTTTCTACCCACCCTCTCTCTACCTCTCTCTCTCTCTAAACTTGGCTTTAGAAGTCTCATAAGACGGTCTGACACACTTTTGTATCGAACCATAAAAAAATATATTTCGGCACAAAATTGTCTTGAATCGGTCAAAAGCTCCTAATTTTTTTTTTCGGTCCGACACAAATATGTGCCAAATTGTTAAAAAATTGCACTGGAAATCTAGAAGCCCTAGAAACCGGTCCAGCACAATTTTGTGTCGAACCGCAAAAAGGATTTTGGTCAAGCACATTTTGCCTTCTATATTTCTAGAAGCTTGTGACCGGTTGTGCCGGACCAAAATTTTTTTTGGAGAGAGAGGGTAGGTAGAGAGAGACAGAGGGCGGGTAGAGAAAAAAACAAACATCGTAGTAGAGAGAGGGTAGATAAAGAGATGGGACAAGTAGAGAGAGAAAAAAAAGAGAAAGGGCAGGTAGAGAGATAAAGAGAGAGAGGGTAGAGAGAGAAAGAGAGGGCGGGTAGAGACAAAGGATAAGGGTAGTTTAGTTTTTAAAAGATTTACTTTTTGACTTGGGTTTAAAAGCAATAAAAATAATGATTGGGTCAAGAGTGTGATACTCAAAGTATTGGGAGTAGAATGTATACAAATTTCATTTTGGAAGATATCCATAATTTTTCCTTTGGTTTATTTACCTTTTGTATTATTTACCTTATTTATTTTTATATTTTCCTAAGAAATTTATCAAATTACCCATAGGATATTGACTATTTAACATTTTACCCATATTTTGAAAAATAAACAAGGACACCATTTAGCTTTAGTACAAAGTGGTCACAATTAATCTTCACCATTAGATTGCAAATTAGATGGCTGCATTTATTCTATTGAAGTTCAACCTTCAAAAGAAATTTTCTCCAACTTTGTGATATACCCATGCTATCAGATTTCAAATTGGATGATTGTAAGTAATTGTGACCTCCTTTTATCAAAGATAAATGGTCTCAAAGTATACATTCACTATTTTTATTTTATTTCAAAATAACAATAAAAGAATAGATGATCATGAGTTGGAACACTAGTAAACTGGTAAATAGTTACCTGTCGTCAGTATACTGATAAATTTTCCTATTCTTTATAGGATTGCAAGGTGGAGGAGGTTTGGGTCCTAAAATTACTCAAAAATAGGGTTTTACTCATTTAAAAACTGAAGACAAGGATGGGGTTTTACTAGAGGGAGTGAACATGCCTTGTGATCCTCCGTCCGGATCATATAAGCAGTCAAAAATATGTCAATTCAAGAGTGATGACAACAAACAAGTGAAACTTCTTTACACACCAGGCATGAATCGCATGGCCGGCCATGGGAACGCACCACAGTATTTATTTATGAACACTAATAGCACAAGAGCTATTATGCACAAAAATGGTTAGCTTTTGGCCACTGCTCCTTGTACTCTCAGCAATTCTTGAAGTGATCCAAATCCTGTTGAATAGGAAAGCTAGACGACTAAACCTGCCACCAGGACCTGGCGGTTTTCCGGTGATCGGAAACCTGCATCAGCTTGGGGAGCTACCCCATCAGTCACTAGCTCGCCTCTCGCAACAATATGGTCGACTCATGTTCTTAAAGTTGGGCAGTGTTCCTACCATTGTGGTTTCCTCTGCAGAGATTGCTAAGGAGGTAATGAAAACCCAAGACTTGGCCTTTGCCAATAGACCAGTCCTTGTTGCGGCTGAGCAACTCTTCTATGGTGGGACTGATGTGGCCTTTTCGCCCTACGGCGAGTACTGGAGACAGATTCGGAAGATTTGCGTACTCAAGCTGCTCAGTACAAAGAAGGTGAAGAGCTTCCAGTCAGTGAGAGAAGTGGAGGTGGCTTCCATGGTCAGTGCCATCTCTGCCTCTTCTCATGGTGACACTGTGGATTTGAGTAAGACGTTCTATACCTTAACAAACCGCATAATTTGTAAAGTAGCTCTGGGCTACTCTGGAGGAGATCAAACTGAGCATAAATTTTACAAGATTATACAGGAATTAAATTCCTTGTTGGGTAGCTTCTGTGCTGCTGATTTATTTCCCTCGATGGGGTGGATTGATATCCTCACTGGATTTCATGCCAGGCTCAAGAAGAACTTTCGAGAGCTGGACTGTTTCCTCGACAAAGTGATTAGAGACCACAAGGTTTCTGAGGCGACAACCACAAACAAAGACTTTGTTGACATTTTACTGCAAGCTCAAAAGGATTGCAGTCTGGATATTCCCCTCACATTGGATAATCTCAAAGCTATCATACTGGTTCTCTTCCACACAAAATTTCGTTTCCCCTTTATGTAAAAGCCTCGGTCTGATAAGTAACTAAATTTCTCATATTGTGCAGGACATGTTTTCAGCAGGAACAGAGACGTCGGCGACCACTCTAGAATGGTTGATGTCCGAGCTCGTAAAGAACCCAGCAGCAATGAGGAAAGCTCAAGAAGAACTGCATCGAGTTATGGGGGTAAAAGGCAAGCTCAATGTATCTGAAGATGAAGTACCCCAGTTGGAATACCTTCACTCTGTAATCAAGGAGATCCTTCGGTTGCATCCTCCTGTTCCCCTCTTGGTTCCACGAGAATCGAAGGAGGGTACCAAGATCGACGGATATGATATCCCTCCAAAGACAAGAGTCTATATCAATGCTTGGGCCATAGGAAGACATCCCGATTACTGGGATCGAGCAGAGGAGTTCTTGCCAGAAAGGTTTATGACTAGTACAATCGATTTCAAGGGGCAGCATTTCCAGTTCATACCATTTGGGGCAGGACGAAGGAGTTGCCCTGGATCTTTATTTTCTGCACAGACTGTTGTGCTTGCTGCGGCCAATCTGATCCACCATTTTGAGTGGGAGGTGCCCCCTGATGGTCTAGACATGGCTGAATCCTCAGGGATTACTGCACACAGGAAACATCCTCTTCTTCTTCTTGCTACTCCACGATATATTTGATTTGTATTTGAATTTCGCGAAACATTTTTAGGGGTGTTTCATATGTAATCATGTAGTGTTATCGGAATCAAATTGGCCCTTGAACAAGTGAGAATCAGTGAGAAATTTAATTTAGTTAAAACCGATTCAACACTAAGTCGAATCGGTTTAACTAGATTTAAGTCGAATCGGTTTAACTAGATTTTAAAATATATATATATATATATATATAATAATTTAAAAATATACAATATAATAGAAAAAAGTTGCCCATCTTGTAGAGCCCGTTGAATCTATCAAAATAAGCTAACAAGCCAAGTCAAATATTAATTTTGAACTATTTTTTTACCAAACCAGGGTTTTTTTAGCTCTGAGACTATACGAGACAAAAACATTGCAGTCCAACCACTCGGACCACTCGTTTGGTGCCGTCTTGATAACGTTTTATGCTAATACTCCAAAAATGAGAACCGCAAGTTAGAATAAAGAAAGGGAACATGTACAATGACCCTCGTTACTAAGGAAAACCCTTGGTCGTGATTGATCCAGACATCTAAGCATAATACTTGAACGGTAATAGTTGAGAGGAAAGCCAAAATTTTGGTGTGAAACCATACTCTTGGAGTTCGCAGTCCCTCCTCTCCTCATGGTCCATGACTGATTGGATGGCTAGAACTCGCATGGCTCGGAAGTTTCCATGGTCACAAGAATTGTAGCGTACTTCTCTTGAAGAAAAAATATAATTGCCAACTAAATCAATTGTAATTGGTTGATGGCGGGGTTTGAGAAAACCCTGATCCGGATCAGAATTGCTAAATCCACATCAGAAATCGATAGGAGCGATCTAGATCCTACCATATATTGGGAACTGGGTGGTTCTCGAAAGAACCAACTCAAGGAACCGGTTGACCACGTCACTATTTTTAATTTTATTTATTATTTTATTAATTAATATTTAATTTAAATGACTAGGCCCCACCTCTTTTGTTTTTACTGATATCTGGCCTATTGGGCTTACAAAAGGGTGGAAGTTTATTTTGATAGCATTGGCCCCATAAAAACCTTTTATATATATATATATATATATATATATATCCACGATGTAGGACTAAATAATATGAGCAAATACATTTTTCTTCGTGTATCATTTCTACGACCCAAAAGCACCTCTCTTTCTCTCTCTCTCTCTCTCTCAAGTGTGTCACATTTATTAGGCTGAGAATAGGTTGGATCGGGTTCGGATCCATGGGGATCTGGATTCGGATCCAAAAAGTACATGGCTTGGAGATATAAAAAAGGGGATATGTTTCCATTCCCCCCACGAGCTCGATCTATTTCACTCATTACACCTTCCTCCACAAAGGCATCTGTCGAAGAATCCAAAATCTTCAGATGGGATCCAAATCAGTATCCGATCGGGTCCATAATATTTGGATCCAGATCTATATACCAAAAGTATACATGGACCTAGATCTGAATCCGAACCTGATTGGATCCAACTAAAATTACTTTATGTATTATTTTATATCTGTAAAATAATATAAAATAGTATATAACAAAAAAAAACTACTATATAACATATATGTATAGATATATAATACATTAATATCCAAGTTTCATGCATATCTAAATTACTCTTCATATCCAAATTCTGGATTCGGATTGGATCTATAGGATCCAAATCTTGGATCTATATCCAGGTCTGGATGGGATTTGAAAATTGGGTTTTTAATCCAAACAAGGTAAATTCTTAGCAGTAATTTTTATGGACAAAAGCACCTCTCTATCTATCATTTCTAAGGCCAAAAGTGCCTCTCTCTTTCTCTCCTGTGTGTGCGTGTGTATGTGCGTGTGCTATCACATTTTTTTAATATCTCATGCATAAACTCATACGCTATATGGCCTGTTGCAAATCAAATAAGATTTTACTCTTGGTACTTAGTATTTCTCAGTCTTGTCCTCAATCATTTAACCTCTCAAATTCTAATTCTATGACTTTTGTTCCAGATTGTGTCACTTGGAGTATTAAAGCACGTATTATATCATCCATTTTCTCCAAGCACAAATCTTATGATATACAAAAGCAACAAAAAAATTTCATGTTCATATAATTCATGAATAACAGCTAAATTTAAACTGTAAACTTCCCACCAACGGAGGTGTTAAAATAAAAAAGGAAATGTAGTCAACAGTTTTGGAGATCCTGCACACCGCCTTCTAGTTTCTCAGTCTAAAATCCAAGACCTTAAACCCCAAAATTCACAATATATTCTTCTTTTTGCACCCTCCCTCATGATCTGTTGGGCCAAGTTCATGGCCTTTTGGGTGGTCACTCTCCTAATCTGCCTCTGCCTCTTCCTCTTTCTTCCACTCCACTCCGCTGCCCTCTTTTTCTTTTTGGAAAAACCTATCACTCTCTCCCTACCCTTCAATTGCCCTTCTCCAACCGCTCAAAAATCACCTTATAATAATAATAATAATAATAATAATATAATAACATATATATATATATATATATATATATATATATATATATTATTATTATATTATATATATTATACTTATATATATACTATATATATATATATA